TTATTAAGGTATAGTTGACACACAGTGTTCCATTAGTTTCAGGTGTACCATTTTTTGGTGTTGACTTGTGTAAGTTCTTCATATATTTTGGATACAAACCCCTTATTAGCTATATCACTTGCAAATGTCTTCTCCCATCCAGTAGGTTGCCTTTTTGTTTTGTTGATGGTTTTCTTCACTGTGCAGAAGCTTTCTATGTTGGTACAGTCCCAATAGATTATTTTTGCTTTTGTTTCTCTTGACTGAGGAGACAAATCTAGGAAAATGTTGCTATGGCCAATGTCAGAGAAATTCCTGCCTACCTTTTCTTCTAGGAGTTTTATGGTTTCAGGTCTCACATTTCGGTCTTTAATTCACTTTGAATTTATTTTTGTGTATGGTCTAAGAAAATGATAGTTTCATTCTTTTGCATATAGCTGTCCAGTTTTCCCAGCACTATTTACTGAAGATACTGTCTTTTCCCCAGTGTATAGTCTTGCCTCCTTTGTTGTAGATTAATTGACCATTTATGCATGGGTTTATTTCTGGGCTCTCTGTTCTGTTCCATTGATCTGTATGTCTATTTTTGGTACCATGCTGTTTTGATTACGATGGCTTTGTAGTGGGTCTTGAAATCTGGGGTTCTGATACCTCCAGCTTTGTTATTCTTTCTCAAGATAGCTATGGCTCTTTGGGGTCTTTTGTAGTTCCATACGAATTTTAGTATCATTGTTCTAGTTCTGTGAAAAATGCTGAACCAGTAATATTTTTTAAGTAAGGGAGCACTTGAATTTTTCGATGGTCGGTTCTCTCAGGAGTGTAGGGTGAATGACTAGGGGAACAAGCAAACCCAGAGGGGAGGAAAGGGTTGCCTTAACTATGACGGTGAGGATGGAGGGAGAAAAGGCAGAGGAATGGGCAGAGAGGTTACAGAGGGGTGGACTTTAAGCTTTTAACTCTGGATTCCGGGGGAGCAGACTCAGGGAAGGGAGGTATCGTAGGCAGAGCTTGAAGCACTGAAAGTTAAGGGTCTAGTGGGTAGCAGGAATGAGGCAGAGACTGTAAAGTCACGCTTGTAAAGCGTAAGCACGTGGGATGTGCCCTTGAAGCCATGAGAGTGAACAGATCCCCTGGAGAAGGCATAGAGCAGGAAGAAAAGAACCTGGCAAACTGGCCGGCCAGGAGAAAAGCATCGGTGAGTGAGGACAGTGTGAGTAGGGCACTCTGGATGGAAGTCACGCTGGAGTAGAATGCGATTTAAATGAGCATTCATGGAAGCAGTGGTTTCCATCCCAGTCGCACATTAGAATTATCTATTAAGGTGGTTGTTGCTGTTTTCTTTTAAGGTATCATTGCCTAGATGTTCTGAGTTAATTGGTCTTCTTGAGGGCCCAGGAATCAGTATTGTTTTGAAAAGTTCCCCATATTTGGGGGGCATGGGTGGCTCAGCAGGTTAAACATCTGATTCTTGGTTTCCGCTCAGGTCATGATCTCAGGGTCGTGAGATCGAATCCCGCGTGGGGCTCAGCGGCGAGTCTGCTTAAGATTCTCTGCCCCTCCCCCTGCTAGGGCTCTCTCTCTCTCTCTCTATCTCTAAAATAAATAAATAAATAAATAAATAAATAAATAAATAAATAAATAAATAAAATCTTCAAAAAAGATTCCCATATTTAAGACCACTACCCTTGAATAGTCTTTTAAGAAGTGTAAATAAACCTCAGCAGCTAGCAAGCATATGATGTGATATTTAAAATCACAAGGAGTTAGAGAAGTACAAAAAGGTTTAATGAAGAATCTCTATATTATTAGACATATGAGAACTCTGACAAATATTAGAAAGCTGGGTGGGTAACACTAAGTGTTAGTGCAGCTGTGGGGCACAGGGAGGGACTCTTGTACACCCCGGTGGGTGGGCAGGTTTGGCAACTTAACATCTTAGGCACACCCTCCGGAGCAGCGGATCCGCCGCTGGATATGGATCCCAGGGAGATCCTCCTGCGGGTCCATAAGGTAACGTGCACTAGCATGTTCCACTGCAACCTTGGATAGGGTGAGAACCACAGGTTATCTGAGTGGCTTTCTCTGGGAGAGTGGATCAGGTATAATTGGGTGGACATACTCCATAGGATATTACGCAGCCCTCGGAAGCAACAGGTTAGATATGTACATATTCACATGGATGGGTCTTTAAAAAATAGTGCTTAGTATAAAAACATAAATAACAAGAAATATGACAAAATCACAAAAAAGGCATCCTCAGAAAACAGTATATATTTTAGAAAAACACACTCCAAGAAAAAAGATAGAAACCCTTGGGAGTAGTTGCCTACGTAGGAGAAGGAAGTGGGGATGACAGAGAAGACATTTTATTTTAAAAAGTGTGATTCCACAGAGATGAAAAGTACAGCATAAGGAATATAGTCAGTAATATCATAACAACACCGTATCATGACAGATGGTGATCACACTTACTGTGGTGAGCATGGAGCAAGGCATATAATTGTCACATCACTATGTTGTGCACCTGAAACTAATATACCATCCTGTGTCAACTATACTTAAATAAGTTTTTAAAAAATAAAAAGTAAAATAAGTACAATTAAAAATAATAAAAAGTGTGATTCCCAGGAAGAATGGAATGGGACAGAAGCCTCGGTGAGAAATGAGGTCCAGGGAGGGAGTGTGTGTGTGTGTGTGTGTGTGTGTGTGTGTGTGTTTCAATAGAATAAAGCGGTGTTGTCAATGTGTGGATGAAATGACAGATTCCAATAGAATTCTCACTTCCCCTCTTATTTATTCAGTGCCGGCAATAACAACATTACTCAAGCAGCATATGCTCCTTACAGACATACCAGAAAATTACCTAAAGATCCTTAACCCACTCACCCATAGAAAGTATCCATATCCTTGTCTATGAACGTGTTGCAAAATTCAGTGAGACCTTTTTGTAACCTGCCGTTTCCGTGGGGGACACAGTGTACTGTGTGCTTCCTCCGTGCGCAGAGATGTTTGTGGTTTTCCCCGGCTGCTTGGAGTCCCGCTGTACAGATGGCCGTCACTGACCGAGCCAACCCCCTTCTGCTGGACACTAGCTGTAGCTGAATCCTGTGGCCCCGAGTGCTACAGTGAACGGACATAAGCGACCTACCTTTGAAGACGATTTCCTGCCCTTCGTTTGGCTCCTGTTTAAAGGAGGCTTAAGGACTGGATTTGAAACTTGTCTGATATGTAAAAATTCCCCGGGCATCATCGAAGTCCAAGCACCAGCCCCGCCCCCCCCGCCCCCCCCCCCCCCGCCCCCCCCCCCCCCCCCCCCCGCCGCCCCCCCCCCCCGGGGGGAGCAGTTCCGGGGGCCAGTCATGAATGAGAGCAAAGGAGTAGAGTCCCTCCCCACACTTCGGAAGCAGTCATTTTAGGTACTTGTCACAGTGCCAAAGTACAATATGGGCTCTCTGGTTTCTGTACTTTAATCAATGATGCGCAATTAAATCACATAGGGTGCTAAGGGAGCTGGTGCAGGATGTGTGTATCACCTCACATGGGAGTCTCACGTGCGCAGGTGGTGAAACCGGAGGCCCAGAGTTTAGGAAACCGCGAGGAAATCACTGTTTATGCTGGGTTGCGGGGGAGGGGACCAAAGTAGGTTCCTACATGTCTATCCAGTGCCAAAGGAGGGAACAGAAGAAGCAAGCCCCTTCTCTGAGTGCTGCCTACTCCCCATATCCCCCCAAACGAGGTTTTAAATATTTAACTTAATCCTTCCAGTTGGTGGGTTTAAGCGTCAGCAATCCAGCACCAGGGTTTACTCCGGCCTTGGTATTAAGAGCGGCCAGGCTGCTGTGCGGCGGGCCCAGAGAAGCAGGCCTGATGCTGGAGACCACTACCTCCGTGGCAGGAATGCGCTAACACTTTGCCCCTTGCGCAGCGCTAGTTAAGTGCGGCAGCGGAAGGGAGGCTCTTCTGTCTGTTCACACTAGCCCTGTGTTGTTGAGAATCTTCGGAGTCGATATAGCCGTTTCTGCGGCCCGTTGCGAAGCCTCTCGAATGCATGGCCCAGCCTGTGTGTATATTAACATAAAACCCCGGTGCAGAGAACTCGTGCCAGGCAGCACAGTGCTTGCAGCAGACAAGGGGTAAGCCCCAGCATGAGTTGATGGGGCCAGGGAAGCTCAAGGCAAGGCTTACAAAAATCCCTTCAGGGGCCCTGCTTAAAAACAGCAGTGTAGGCCATAGCTTAGTGTTTTGACGGCTTATATCAGCAGTTTTCTCGGCTGATATATTGATTGCAGTTTGGACTTCAGTCCTGCTGATCTAATAAAACATCACCATCATAACAGAGAAAGGAAAAGGGTCTTTTGCAGTCCCAGCCACTTGGTCAAGTAGCTCTGCAGGGCTACTGCTGGAAGGCCAGCCCTCCTGTCTGACGTCAAATGAAGTGACTTTGGGCAACCTGACGAATCACATCCAGTTTTTTTTTTATTATGTAATTTCTTCATCTATCAAAACCTGTTGTCTGTCAACACTATTCCACATATTTTTACAAATACACCTTTATTCCAAGGACTTTGAGGGTGGCTTCACAGATCCTTAGCACAAACTTGTTTTATTGTGCAGCAGGGTCCCGACAACCTAATAATGTGTTAGAACCTGTGATTTTGGGGCGCCTGGGTGGCTCAGTCGGTTAAGTGTCTGCCTTCAGCCCAGGTCATGATCCCGGAGTCCTGGGATCGAGTCCTGCATTGGGCTCCTTGCTCAGTGGGGAGCCTGCTTCTTCCTCTCCCTCTGTTCTCTCTCCCCCCTCTCTTAAGCAAATAAATAAAATATTAAAAAAAAACCCTGCAATATTGTTACACTAAGTCATGGGGGTGGGGGCACAAAAGTTAACTGAATTAATTAAGCTTTAAGACATGCAAAGCTATTGGATTAAGCTATTAAGACATGCAAAAATCTTCTCATGCATTGGAATGTTACAGTCACCTGGCCTTCCAGCCTACTTATCTCAAATGTTCTTACGTTGACAGCAATTGCTGACCATCCAGGAAGAGTTAAACAACAAAAAGTCAGAACTGGAACAAGCAAAGGAAGAACAGTCACACACGCAGGCATTACTTAAAGTCCTCCAGGAACAGGTAAGCTGAGGCAGCAGCTCCGATTCGGGCACCATTTCCATCCCGGACACATACACCCCTTCTGCCCGACAGGCGCCCAGCTGTTTCTGCAGTCCGTCTGCTGTCTGATCCACCCGTGCCCCGTCACAACTTTGCGGCAGCACTACTACGTGGAATTCGTAAGCTTTCTCCCTCCTTCCCTGATGGGGACCACCCAAGCCCTCCAGTGACATGTGAAAGTTTACTCCAAAAGACAAATGAATTTTTAATAGTATTTATTTTAATAATAAAATAAAGTTTTAAAGTATCGGAGATGCGGATGTGTGTCAAAGCAAGCAGCTAGTTTCCCCTTAAGTGTAACAGCGAGGAACATGCATTTAGCATCACCTGCGGCACTCAGGCAGACAAATGAAGAGGAATGACTGATTCATAGGGACGTTAAAAAAAAAAAAAGAAAAATCATCCCCGTGCATCAGGGCACTTATCTAATAACCACAGTGAGCAACAAACCTTTTCTATGAAGTTTGTAAATCTGACCATTTCATCCCGGCTTTCTTTGATACTGAAGTGTGGCCAGACATTGATAAGTGGATTTGGAAGTATTGTCTTACAACAGCGTAAGATGGATTGCTCAGCAGCAGGGGGAAATCTGAGTGAAATCTGAGCCCAGTATCTACACGGGAGAGCTCTTGAAATGCTTTCCTATTTCTGGCCTTCCCATGCTGCCAATGATGGAATGAATGGTAATTGGGAGGAGGGAAAAAAAATCACACAGAGTAACCCCAACCTTTTGGGGTAATCAAATTTAGCTTGTTTTACATTTTTTTTCACCCACAGTGGCTTATGCGAAGGTTATTTGTACCATATAAATAACATCAAAAATGATATTGCTGAAAATATGTCATCGGGAGAATATAGCCAGCTGTGACTCAGTCACTTTACAAGCGGTTTTTAGATCTTTGTGGCTTAGGAGCAGGAAAATACAGTTTTCGTTCCTTTCCCCTGAAAGTATTAGGTGACTTGTGAGTGAAAAGTGGTGATGTTGGATACTTCATAAGCTTTGGAGGAAAATGCTTTTTGAGACTGGTGATTATGTGATTAGGACAGATTGAGTAATGTAGACTGAGGCCGAATCTGTATGATTTTGGGTGACGTACGATTGGACGAAAACTACTGACTGAATTCGCAGTGGCCGGCTAGCTAGGAGCCCCTAAACTCACTGGGCTTTCCTCCTGTGCGTGACTGAAAGACTTCCAGAAGAGTAGCGCTGATTTGGTCCAAATTTGCTCCTGATCAGCCAGAACTCTGAGCTTTGCTGTTCTGTGCTCTCCCTCCTTCCTCCCCAACCCCCGCCATTCCCCCCTCTCCTCGATTTGCTCGGATGGGGAGGGGTGGATTTCTCCTTTTTCCAGATGACTCAGATCTTTTCTGTACATTGTCTTTTTAGACATGATGCTATTGCACACTACAGGATAGTGAAAACTTAGCTTTTATATTCACTGGAAAACCCAAAAGTTCAGTTGACTCGCCTTATTGCAGTCTGGCACCCAACCCACAATACCTCTGAGCTCTGCCTGTATTTTGATTTGAGGTCTAAGCCCCCATCACAAAAAGAGATTCTGAGGTTTGCAGAAAGCACCGGAATCTTCTTGTTAGGGCCTGCATTTTTAGAGAGGAGAAAGTGCACACACAGGCTGTAGTGCAACATTGCACTCCATCTCCATTACTTAAAAAAAAAATGGGGAACGTGAAGAAGATCCAGAACAACTAAAATCACTAAAGAGCTAGAAAATACGACTGGGAAGGAATCGTTTTTAGATCTGCTGTGCTCATTTAAATGGGATAGCTCTTTTCAAGCAAAGACATCAAAAGTACGTCTGTCTGAGAAGGCCGGTGACACACGGCAAGCAAATGCATTTGGGTGCTATTGCCGCCCCCAGGCTGTTTTCCCGGGAGCCCCTAGCCGGGTGCCCCTGTCCTCCTTGCAGTTGGGAGCACACAGTGGACTCGTTCCTTCCATCTCCTTGCAGGCGGCCACCCGCACACAGACATACACTTGAAAACGCACCTCTATCCCTCTGTGAGCATTGTCCCGTGAGGCTTTCTTTGGACTTATGTAGAGTAACTACATATCTAAACACTTTTTCGGTGCCTGCATAGACAGGGCCTAAACAAGTAGCATCACTCCTGGAAAGTATGACTGCATGCGCCTAGAGCCTTGCTATCATTCACACACACACACACACACACACACACGCACGCACGCACGCACGCAGTGGAAAAGAGACACCTTTTTCTGAAGACCCGGTACTTTGCTATTCAAAATGATGCCATTTGATGAGAATCCTAAAAGAAAGAACAGGTCATGAGGCCAGACACTTACCATCATTAGGCCCTGCCCCATCCCCATCAGGGGAGGCAGGATTATTCCCTAGACTCCCCAGAATGTTCCCAGCCTTCCTTGTTTGCTAGGATGCAGCTTCTCTCGGTCGCTTCAGGCCCCACTGGCTCCTGCCCTTCACCTCTTTTCCAAAGGTGGCAGCCTCCGACATCTGGAGCTTCTTCACAAGCCCAGGTATCATCAGCCAGGACACTCCTCCGCTCCATCTGGAGGAGAGGAGCAGCCAGAGGAGAGGACAGGCAGAGAGGCCAGTGAGGGCAAAGCAGCGGCCAGCCTGCAGGTGCAGGAGGGAGCAGTGGCCTGCCGTGGCTCTGGCAGAAGAGGGCAGGGGAGCAAACAGGACTGGTGGGCAGGGAGTACGAGGAGAGCCCACGGGAGTGTTCCAAGACAGGAGGACGTGGAGTAGCGGGATGGAATCTTTTTACTAGGGAGGAGAGCAGTGAGCTTGTCTGTGTCGGTAAACTTGTAAAGGTGGAACTGGCTTTCACGACATGATCCTTTACTTCCATGGCAAGATAGCAAGGCCTTCCCCGTTGTGTCAGGGAAGCAGAGCAGAGAGGGTTGGTGAGGAGAAATGTGAGGAACACCTGCAAGTGGAAACCTTCCGCTAGGAACACAGAGAGGGTTTTAGGTCCTTCTGTGCCCTCTGATAATGGCTGGTCTTGCTATCATTGTGGGGCTCGTTCGCTTTTCATGTCTGTAACACATTGTATTGTTGTGTGCAGAAACATCAGTGAGGGGGCCCTGAAAACCAGTGGGCAGAATTCTTGTTTCTCAAGCGGGAGCCATGTGGAAATGAGCCAAAGAGCCTCTGGTCCATAGTCAGCTGCCCCAGCCTCAGTTTCTCCTTGTTACCCCTCCTTTGGCAAAGCCCCTTTCATGGCATGGAGAGCATGTGGCTTTCTTGCTGAGAATTGGACATTGTCTTAAGAAAAAAAAAAAAAGAAAAGAAAAGAAGAAGCTTTCATTTTAGTATGTACAAATAACCAGCAAGAACCAGTAAGTATTCTGGATCAGACACATTGTCAGTATAGCCACATTTATTTTCTTCTTTTCTTTCCAACTTTAAGCATTTATTTCCTGCCCTGAATACTTTATCTTCGGCATAAAAAAAGATGATGACAAAGATGCTGCTTCCTGAGCACTAATAAGCCAGGAAGAAATACTGGTGAGCCGCTGCAAGGTCTGCTCACCCTTTGCCCTTGCTCTCTGCTTCCAAATGTCTGCTTCAAGCCGGGCGAGGATAAAATGCCAATTAAAGGTTTCCAGAAATCTCCTGATAAGTGATCTCTCCTAAGCCTTCTGAGAGAAAGTAAATAGAGGACTGTTTTCAAATGTTCACTGTTAAAAATCTCATTTGAGAAATAGCTTTTCTTCTGATGCCTCAGTGACCAAGGAAATGTTTCCCCAATTCTTCCTTTACAAAAAGAAAATCATCTTTTTTTTCTTAGGCCTCCAGAAACAATGCCAGTCATTCAAATATGTTCTCAAGGAAGACATGTCGAGTAGCACTGCGGCATGTTAGAACAACCGGAAATACATCATTCACAAGTAATCGTTTCTATAACATCATTTAGCTGGTGGCAACTTGCAAACACTGCAGGGTTGAAATTAATAGCAATACAACTAGGAAATGAAATCATTTGTTATTCTTAAGAACCAATTTTATACATTTTATGCCTATGGAACTGCTTTCTAATCTCATTATTTAAAAAATAATGATCAAGACCCATTTATTTTTTGCCATCCATCAAGTTTTATAAAATATTGGTCTCAAACTGGTTTCAATAAGACTCATTAGAATTATGTGCTCCATCTGTTTTTTTTTCCTCGCAAGTTTTATAAAGTGTGACCTCAAGATAAATCAGAGTTAACAGGATGATATATACTTAACAGATACGCTTGCTTATTCATTTGGGATTTTTGATTTGTTTTTGTTTTTTCTTTTGCAGTTAAAAGGTACCAAGGAAATGGTCGAGACCAATGGCCACAGCCATGAGGACACAAATGTAGGTACCACTAACCTGATATTTGCTCTTGTTTCTTGATGTTGGTTGAATGCCCACAGGTATGTGGCACTTTATTTATAACACCGAGGAAGTCAGAAGCCCTGCCTCTCAGTGGCTTATTAAGATTACTATGAATGGTTTGGCAATAAAATATGGTAGACAGGCACTGCTGTTATTAGCTGAGATTACCGAACGTCAGTTTCAAGGTACTTGAGCCAATCTGTATTGTTAAAATTCTCATCTTAGCGAATTTCTTTGAGCCCTTTATATTTTCAAAGCTATACACTAATGATGGGTTGGGAGGACAAATGGAATGAGACCAAACAAGGTAATAAGTTGTATATTGCATGTATATTTATTAAGTTTGCTTGTCACTGAAGATGGTAATGAAATGATTGTTATGCTGGAGAGGTTTCAGAGCAAACCCCTTCTCTCAGAAAAGCCCTTGAAAGCATTGCCTCTCTTGTTTCTGACCCAGTAGCGTGGTGCATCCATCTTCTTGACACAAGATCCCAGTTAGCACCCCGACTTCCTATCTCAGTGTTCCTTGCGTATCCAGTTGCCCAACCTTAGTCAAGTACTCTCTTTGCCTTGGAAGGTCCTTAGTCCCAGGTGAAATATTATGCCATGCAGATCATTGTCTCTCCCTGTGTTTGATGGTTTTGCTTTTGTCTTTTTGAAAATCTCTCTGATAATCTATATGTGTTTGGTTATCCCCATCACAGAAAATGCTTACTAAGCAGTTCTTTTCATATAACACAGAATCAGACATGGTAATGAATGCCTGATTAAGCTAGAGCTGGGAGAAATTATATACTTCATGTTCACTCTTGTTTTAATTATATACTGCAGAAAGCCTGACATAGAAAGTACCAAAAAATCCCTCTTAATAACTACTGTTCCTACCAAACATATATTTAATGTCTGACGTTTATTGAGAACCTACTGTGTACATGGACCTCTGCTAAATGCTGGCAGTGGGGGTGGTTACAAAGAAACATAAGACTTGCCGTCTGCCCTCAAAGAACTTATAACTGAGGGGCGCCTGGGTGGCTCAGTCGTTAAGTGTCTGCCTTCGGCTCAGGTCATGATCCCAGGGTCCTGGGATCGAGCCCCGCATCGGGCTCCCTGATCAGCGGGAGGCCTGCTTCTCCCTCCCTCACTCCCCCTGCTTGTGTTCCCTCTCTCACTGTGTCTCTCTCTGTCAAATAAAAAAAAAAAGAAAAGAACTTAAAACTGAGTCGAGGAATAAGGGGACACTTGGGTGATATACAAGATGTGATACGTGTACAGGAAGGTGAGGCAGCTGTGACGTGATGTAGTTTGAAATCTGGACTTTGCAGCTTATTACCCGTGTCAGCTGGGGACAGGTGAGCCCTTCTGAGCTTCATATTCCTGTTTGTAAAACAGATGGCAAAGCCACCCTCAGAAATGTGTCACGATGTTGTAATGAGCGAAGGCATGGGAAAACCTTAAGGTGGTATTACTATGGTTTCTTTCTGGTGGATAATTAAGAATGGCTTTCCGGGGGGCACCTGGGTGGCTGTCTTTTTAAACGTCTGCCTTCAGCTCAGGTCATGATCCCAGGGTCCTGTGATTGAGCCTGACATCGGGCTCCCTGCTCAGCTGGGAGTCTGCTTCTCTATCTCCTTCTGCCCCTCCCAACTGCTTGTGCACGTGAGCGCTCTCTCTCTCTCTCTGTGTGCATCAAATAAATAAATAAAATCTTAAAAAAAAAATGGCTTCCCAGAGCTGTGAGATTTGGGTTGGCTCTGAAGAATGGAGAGGACTGAGAAAGTAGAAAAGGAGAGGAGGACGCCATTCATACAGAGCTCTCCACAGGCAATATTTCTACCTAAGTAGTTTCTCTTCCCACTTGAATATTTCATAAGCCCCATCCTTACCCTAGAGCTTTTTTCCAGGGTCCTGTCCTCCAGTGACACACTGCTGCCACATTCTCAACCAGAACCTTCACATTCTCTCCCCTCAGTCAGTCCCTCTGTGCCTTCCGTCAAATCCAGCAAGCCAGCCAAAATGGCAGTATGCCTTAGTTTCCTGGTCTGTAAATGGGGATGGAGTTACCTGCCTTTCTTTCCATAAGGCTGATGGTGAGAAGCAAATGAGAGAATGGACATGGAATTACTTTGTAACTGACGTTCTGAGCAGGATTTAGTTATGATTATGAGCTCATCTGTTGGTTAAATTAAATTGACGATACTTGTGAAGATAAGCCTACAACAATATCTAGTCCCTAGGCTCTCATTTTGAGAAACATCAAAAGCCATTCATTATTAAATGAAAAAAGTGGAAGATCATCTTTGAGTTCTTTTGTCCTTCCTAAAGGAAAGTTTTTAGCTTTAAAAAACTCCTCTCTGGAATGCAGGATGTGGGCTTTGTAATCAGCAGAAGAAATGACTGTTGGGAGATGGGGTTCAGGCCAAGTAGGAGGGAGGAGCAGCACCGTAACCAGAGGTGGGTGAGATACTTGTGGAAGATCGAGCCCAGCCACACTTGCTGGTCACCACTGGTGGCCACTGCCTCACCGGCCCGAAGGTGAGGGTAGTCATCATAATCACTGCCTGTTCGTTCAGAGGTTTCCCAGTAGGTGGGCTCTTCACTTGTCTTTCTCTGTTTTGTCTGTAGTGTTGTCTCCCTTGGGCAGTTTCCCTACTACCTTCACTGGGGTGATGTGAATGAAAAGAAACAAAAATTAGTTTTTTTGGCCACATATGAGAAGCACTTGTGCAATATCTTGTGGAGATATTTTTAAATGTCTGCAATGAAGTCTGTGTCTCATCTAAAGTTTCTATCAGCTCTGCAGTGGTAGAAGAAATCAAGGCTTTCAAACCAGACTGAGAGGTTTTGAGTCCATTTTGACCCCCAAATAGCCATGTGACCAGGGCAAGTTATTCAACCTTTCTGAACTTTACCTTCTCCATCCATAATTGTGCTCAGGGAAACCATGTACATAAACACTTGGCTCAGACTACGTACTCAACATACCAGTTCCCTCTCTCTACTTAACAACATAAATAGTATTTAATGTGGAAGGCGGGATTTTGACAGGATGAATTTTAATGCAGATCATGAGGTTTAAAGCCTCTGACCCAGAGGTTACTGACAAAGACATACAGATTTTTTTTCACTATAATTATTCACATGGGCAGAAATTTTATATATTATTTATTAATAACAATTATATAGGACTGGTCCTGGCTTAGCTGGATATTCTTGTGACAGTTGACAAGTGCTTTTTAAAAACAATACATTTTATTGTAAAGGAAGTAGTTTGTAAGGAACTGGAAAATTACAGAAAAAAAAATACAGAGGTAAAAAAAAAGCACTTAGTATCTCATTACTCAGAGATAACCACCATTAATGTTTTATTTTCCTCCTTTCCAGTCATGTGCATATATATGACCAGAGGGAAAAACCCATAAATAAATATTATCATATTGTTTTCAGTTTTGTACCTTTTTGATTTCTCATATCATAAATATTTTCTTGTCACCAAATGTTCCTCAAAGACGTGATTCTTAATGACTGCATAATGTAGATACACAATAACTGAACCACAGACCTATGTGTTAGGCATTTAACTTCCCATTTTTTTACTCTTATAAATAATGCTGTAATTAACATGCCCGTAAATCTTGTTCTGCATCTTTTATATTTGTTTCTGGGGGATACCGTATATTAATAGCTGTGTCATCAAGTCTGGCAGGGAGCGTCAGATTTACAGAATTGTTTAGCATTTAGAATGTGGTGTGGCAGATGCCCACTTATGGTATCCATTAGTAGTCCTGAAGGGACCCATAAAAAATATGTCTAGTCTTGAAATTTACTAACTCTGTTGCCTTAGTCCCAAGAGTTGTCAGGCTGATGGGATGTTAACCACACCTAGATTTGGTGTGCTACTATTATTTTTCTCCTCTTTTTACATTTTATTGAGCAACCAGTCTCTGACCAACACCACCTGAGGTCCCCAAACTGAAGCGCCATACAAAATCTACCCTTATCCCCTATCACAAGATCGGCAAGCTCATGCACATGAGAAAAGTTTTCTGAGGTCTGATTTAAAACCATCAGAGCCAGAAACTGAGATCACCTGCAAAGGTTTTTTGATTTAATTAATTTTTGATTAATTAATTTTTGATTTAAATAGGTTTTTCCTTCTGTTTGGAACTGGATACATTAATGACAGCTGGGCAGTCCAACCTTCTAAGTGCAGCCGAGTTTAACACTAGCCTTGATCATAGTTCATTTAGAGATTTCAGTTATGCCAGACCCAATTTCCTTTCTTAAAATGCAAACTATGAATTTTATTTTTGTCTCTGAGCTATCTCCTAATCCCCAGAACTGCTAAACAACTAGCCTGGCCCCTGGTAATTATGCATAACAGATACCCAAATCTAAAAAAAAAAAAAAGATCATCTGTGCTCATCTTGCATCTCTTTTTTATGACCTTCCTCCGAGAGCTATCCCCCCACCTGTGATCCTTACATGTGAATGTTTGGTGAGAACGTGGAGGGGAAGGGAGAGGATGCGAGAAATGTAGGAAGTTGGAGGAATCAAGTAAAGTGGCAGCTGAAGCCTGCAGTATATAAACAGTTTGGTCTAAAAGTTTTCCACGAATTTCCACTGCTCCTGCGCTGTGTGTGCTATACTAAAGCCGTGACACCACATCTTCTGGTTGCCCAGTTCAGGCCCACATACTGGGGTCAGAGGAATCATTTGTAACCTGTAAAGAGACTTAATTCATGTAAAGAGAAGTTTCCCACTGTCAAGTACAACACCCTTCCCACCCAACAATAAAACAAAAACATAAAAGAGAAAAGACTTTTCAGTTTTTCACGCTGCCTCTGTAAGAAAGTAAATCCTCAGAGTTGTCTTTAAATCTGTCGGAGTAAAGATGTTAGGAGTGTAGAGAAGAGATACTGTGTGAAGAACATTCTTCAAGTTTAGCACCCCGCAGCGGAAAGCCACTCTTAACCATGTGT